TTAGAAGCAATATGGACAGCAGCTTGATTATCACAAAAAAACTCAACCGGAGTCTTAACTGGGAAACCAATTTCCTCAAGAAAGTGTTTCACTCATGTTAACTCACTACTCGTGTGAGCTATTGCTATGTATTTAGCTTCTGCACTAGACCTTGCCACCATTGTATGTTCCTTACTCTTCCATGTAATTAAATTGCCCCTTAAGAAGGTACAATAACCTGTAGTAGATCATCTATCTGAGGAGGAACATGCCCAATCAGCATCTGTGAACACTTCTAATCTAAGAGGTCCATGAGATTTATACAACAATCCAAGTCCAAGAGTTCGTTTGAGATATCTAACAATACAGAGAACTGCATCCCAATGTGATACTCAAGAAACTTCCATAAATTAACTTACTACGCTCATTGCATCTGATATATCTGGTCGGGTAATGGTAAGGTAATTTAGTTTCCCAACCAGTCGATGATACCTTCCAAGATCTAAGAAACAATTACTTCCATCCACTGAGAGTTTATGGTTTGGATCCATAGGAACATCAATTGATCGACCACCAAGAAAACTTATTTCCTCCAAAAGATCAAGAACATATTTCTTTGTGATAAACTAATGCCTTCTTTCGATCTAGCGACTTCAATACCAAGGAAATAATGAAATTTGCCTAAATCTTTGGTGTGAAATCAGTGCTGCGGAAATTGTTTCAACTTACCAATACCAACTGAGTCACTACCAGTAAATACAATATCATCTACATAAACAACGAGGAAGATATTACCTGCACTAGTATGTAAGTAAAACACAGAATGATCTGTCGGACATCTATGAAGACCAAAGTTCAACACTGCATCGAAGAACTTTCGAAACCATGTTCGTGGAGATTATTTCAGCCTATACAATGCTTTCTGTAACTTGCATATAGTCCCCTGATACTCCCCCAAAGCAACAAACTCTGGCAGTTGTTCCATATAAACCTCTTCTACTAAATCATATATATATATATATGACTAAAGACTACTATATCCCTCTTAGGATATACTTATTACATAAATGTCACTATGTATTTTGACAGACGGTAAGTCCACCACTGGCTTCTATCTTTTCGTTGGTGATTTTCTTATTTCCTACAAAAGCAAGAAACAAATTGGTATTGTTTATTCCTTTGCTGAAGTTGAATATCGTGCTATAACGGCTACTATAGCTGAGATAGTTTGGTTATGATAGCTCCTTACTGATCTTGGCATCTTATTATCTGCGCCGCCTCCTATGTATTGTGACAACACCAATGCAATTCAGATTGCTTATTACTTAGCCTTTCTTGAGCGCACCGAGTATATTGAGATTGATGGTCATTTTGTGCGTCATCATCTTTATCTAGACACTATCTCTCTTCCTTTTCTACCGTCAACTCCACAGTTAGTGGATTTCTTAACGAAATCTCATACGATTGCATATTTTCACTTTCTTCTTAGCAAACTCTTGATGTTCTCTCCTATCACATCATAAGTTTGAGAAAATGTGTTAAAGAGTTTAACTTGTTATTAATATTAGTATTAAGAACAGTTTAGTCATTCTCTTTATTTATGTTACTATATAAAGGTGTTTTGTGTATCTTATTAGTTGTTCTAACAGATTATTGTAGCTCTAATATCTTTTCATCATTTTCTCTCTTCCCTCTCCTTTGTTTTGATCAATATTGTTAATTTTAGAGAGTTAATACAATATTAGAGAAAGACGGAGAGTGGTCGAAAACTTGACCTACGTCTCATAAACCACTTGTATTTATATTTAAACCGTAACCATACAAAAGACGTGTAACCCTCTAATGGTATACTTATTACAACTAACTAATATTTACATAATACCCTACTATTCTTAACACTCCTCAAGCTGGACCATATATATCATATAATCTAAGCTTGGAACAAATAGTTGGAAGACGTGTATACTCAATGCTTTGGTAATATATCCGCAAGTTGATCCTCATATCTCACAAATGGAGTCGTAATATCTCCGATTACTATCATGTCTCGAATAAAGTTATAATTAACCTCAATATATTTGATTCGCTCATGAAATCTTGGATTAGTAGCAATATGAATAACTATGTGGTTGTCGCATAATAACTATAAAAGAGGTTGAACTGGAAAGCCAATTTCCTGAAAAAAGTGTAGTAGCCACGTCAACTCACTAGTTGTATGTGTCATTGCTCTATACTCAGCCTCAGCATTAGACCTTGCTATCGATATAACATCCCAAGGTCAGTAGCACATTTGAGATATCACAGAATACGAGTAACTGCCTCCCACTGTGGTACTTTAGGGCAACCCATAAACGGCCTTACAATACTAACTACATAAGAAATATCCGGTTGGGTGATAGTGAAATAATTGAGCTTCCCAACTAACTTGTAATACTGACCCAGATTCTCAAACAGTACACCATCATCCATCAATAATTTATGATTCAAATCTATAGGAACATCAATTTGTCTGTCACCTAGCAAACCTGCTTCCTCTAGCATATTAAGTACATACTTCCTCTAGGATAAACAAATATCCTATTTAGATCTCGCAACCTCAATACCCAAAAAATACCTACATTTTTTTAAGTCCTTAGTATGAAATTGGTCTTGTAGAAAAGTTTTCAACTTTGCAATCCCCTCATAATCATTTTCAATAATCATAATATCTACATAAATTACCAATAGAACATATTCGGTATCCGTCTATTNTGGTCTTGTAGAAAAGTTTTCAACTTTGCAATCCCCTCATAATCATTTCCAATAATCATAATATCTACATAAATTACCAATAGAACATATTCGGTATCCGTCTATTTATGAAACACAGAATGATCTGTCTGACATCGAAGACGGCCAAACTCTAAAACTGTATCCGAAAATTTACCAAACCATGCCCTCGGTGACTGCATCAACCCATATAAGGATTTTTTTAATCGACATATATGCTTACTGTACTCCCCCTAAGCAGTAAACTCAAGCAGTTGTTCCATGTAGACCTCTTCAACCAAGTCACCATACAAGAAGGCATTCTTGACATCTAACTAAAATAATGGTCAATCAAGATTAACGGCCAAAGAAATCAAGATAAGCAACTCAATTTTTATCCTTATACATACTTGTATATTACTGGGTCAAGAATAGTTTAGTAAAAATAGAAAACATAAAATACGTTTCAAAATTCAAAACCATCATTTACACATGGGCATGTATGCCCACCTTTTTTTCCAATCACGTGGACCTCTCTCTTTCTCATAGTTAAAACCCCTCACTTGAAACCCAAACACTTCATTTCCTTCAATTTCATTTCTCTTTCTTAGTTCCCTCTTTCTCTCTCCTTTCTTTCACAAAGTCATCCCTCATCTCTCTCTTTCTCCTTCCATTATGTTGCATCTATGGAGTTGCTTTCTCTTCTCCCTCCTTACCCACTATACGAACATCATTTTTCCCAATCCAAACCCTAAAATTAACATTCATCCATCTTACCCAATAACTAATATTGCAATATATATATGCATGGCTATAGTCTATTTAATTTATATGTTCTGTTGTGATTTAGAGGATTTTGGTGTTAATATTGGTGTTTAGATTTAGAATTGTGTTTTATATGGCATTTAGAGATTGTGGATTTAGATTTTTTTTTTGTCAATGGCTCGTTTTGGGCTCGAGTTCGATTCAAGCCAAGCTTGAGCAATAGTTTGAGCTCAGCAACCGAGCTCGAGCTAAGCTTGACTATCATTTGAAGAGTCCGAGGCGATTATGAGCATAGCCAAGCTCAAGAAGTTCGACTCAATTACTGAATCTACTAAATTAAGTGCTAATAAGATGCACAGAGAGGAGCAGAGATTGGTACAAATTTTTACGACAATCCAAGATGATTTTAAGGTACTTCGTGGCTCCAATCCCCATTGTCACCCACTTCCTTCAGTTGATGTTGTCGTCAATGAACTCTTTCTTGAGGAGGTACATCTTAAAATTCTTTCTAAAAAAGATCTTTCTTTACCGAATCAAACTATTTTGGTTGTCCCTCCCAAGGTGATCTCCAACTCACAAAACAAAGGAGGTCATGTTGCTCTGAATGAGTGCAATTTTTGTCATAAAAAACAGCACTAGAAGGCTCAATGCCCTAAATTGACGAATAATAATGCTCAAGGATCATAACACCAATCATGTAAGGCTAAAGATTGTCATACAACAACTGTTGCACCATCGGTGGATGACCCACCCTCATTGACTCCCAATTTGATTATGATTGTTGATCAAGTACAAAAGTGCTCTCCGCCTAGAAGCCTAATGCTCTCTTAGGCTCTTAATTCATAGGTTCATTCTGTTGGGTCCTTTAAGTATATCTCGAACTGCACGAGTCTTTTAACTCAAGTGCTACACATCAAATGAATAATGACTCTTCCCTATTTTCATCTACTAACAAACATAACCTTGTTAAGGTTAATGAATTAGTTACTCCAGAGGAAACTTAAACATAGAACATGCAGTTATTTCAGGATCGTCACAAATATATCTTAGGTTCAGCATAGAAGTTAATAAGTGCAACATCTAGAGATTCTAGAATGTCATAATATGAAAGAAAATTGGTGGATGAAATCTTAATGTCATAATGCCTTTCAAATCCTCCTAGCCTATTCTTGAGCTTATTAATAAATGTTGTTATATGCGTATATGTGCAAACAAAAGCCATCAAAAAACTTCAACGTGCAAGGTTAAAGGGCACAGTAATAATCTTTTGGTCAGATGTGCACTCAGAAAACTACAAAAGGGGTTTAAGGTACTGTCTCCCCCTACCAGCCACCACTTCAAAACATCCAAATAGAGGGGTGAAGACAGAAAATAGCATGCCGATTATTAGTTGGAAAAACTTACATTTATAGGATCTAGGGGGACCAAATCAAAAATATTTGTACTTTAGAGGTGCCAGCTTAGTAATATCAAAAAAATAAAACCAAAATATAATGCCAAATGTGCAACTAAGGGGTCCACGGCCACCCTTGGTCTTGACGTAGCCTTGCCTCAGGCCAAATAAGAGGGGACAGGGTAGGGGACACCATCGCCTTCCACATGCCACAAAACAAGAAGAAGAATCAGGCTAGGGTCTTTGATTTTCTTCAGATAGATGGGAATTAAATAATTTTTTGTGTATGTAGGGGGTCCACACTATTCTCATAAACAATATGTAGATGTTGGCATGCTTTTTTGGCATATTTGTCCATAACTGTGTTCATTATCAGAATAATCATCAACTTACAGGCCGCTCATAGGCTGCATTATGGATCAAATAATCCACACCAGCAGCCGCAAAAAAGGATTCAGCTTTCAGTACAGCCTCTCTAAGAAAATCTTCCCCAGATGTCAAATCTAAAGGTAAAATCATCACTTCATCCGGTGCATGTTTTCCTGCAAGCACACATTACCAAAATAAGGAATTGAAAAGAGAATCAACAAGAAAATATGTAAGAAATCAAACACAAGCATGGTCTTTGATTGGTGGCTATCGTGGGTGTATGGGCCTAATAAACCTCGGTTGAGGGTGTCTTTGTGGGAAGAGAGCAGGGTTGTTTGGAATGTGTAGTCCGAAGTAGTTTTTCGTTGGGAATTTTAATGTTATTAGGTATTCTAGGGAAAGTCTTAATGGACGAAGAGTCACAAAAAGTATGAGTGAGTTTGATACATTTATTAGGGAAACTAAACTTAATGATCCGCCCTAGCCAAGGTGTCTTTACGTGGTCCACTTTAGAGAGGTTGTAGTGTGTAAGAGACTAGATATTTTTTTATTCACAGTAGGTTGGGAGGAGTGTTTTCCAAGTTGTAGACAATAGGTGTTACCTAGGGTTATGTCTGACCATTATCCTATTATTCTTAACAACTCTAGCATCAAATGAGATCTGGGTCCCTTTAGATTTGAGAATATGTGGCTTGAACATCATACTTTTAGGGGAAATTTTAATGGTGGAATGAGGGTTGTTTTGATGGCTGAGAGGGATAAAAGTCTATGAAAAAGACGGACTCTGTTAAGAGAAAAATCAAGGTGCGGAATAATGAGATATTTGGTGATATTCGTGTAATTAAGAGTGGTATTTTGGATAGGATTGTTGATATAGATAAGAGTGAAGAGAGAGGGAGTTTGGATGAAGGGTTGAGTACAAAAAAATTGTAACTTAAGAATAAATTTGAGAAGATCGTTTTTGGGGAAGAGATTAGTTGGACATAAAAATCTAAGGTGAAGTGGGTGAAGGAAGGTTATAATAATTCAAAGTTCTTTTATAGAATTGCAAATGGAAATAGGAAAAAAAAGTTATTAATAAACTGGAAGTTGGGGGAGGTGTTTTTGTTGAGGATGAGGAACAAATTGAACAAGAGGTTTGAGTTTTTTTTCTAATTTATACAAGAATTCTAATGAATGTAGCCCTAGACGGGAAGGGCTTGAGTGGTGCCCCATTGAGGTGAGGTTGTCAAGATGGGATGGAGAGACTTTCTGAGGAGATTGAGACGCGGAGGGATAAAGAACCTAGGCCGGATGGTTTCATTATGATTATTTTTCAAGAAGGTTGGGAGTTAATAAAAGTGATGGGGATCGTGTAGAAATTGGATAGATATTATAAGTATCTAAATAACTGTCATAATTAATCTATAATATCTATCCAATTCCTACACGATCCCCATCAAAAAGTTTTTTCTGAATTTTTTTTCAGAGTGGTGTGGTGAATGATATAACCAATGCAACATTTATTTGTCTTATCCCGAAGAAGGAGAATTCCATTAGAGTTAGGGATTTTAGGTCAATTAGTCTTGTTACAAGTCTTTACAAGATCATTGCAAAAGTTTTGTCAATTAGGCTTAGGGAGAGCTTAAGTGATACCATTTCAGGGTTTTAGGGGACTTTATCTAAAGGAAGGCAAATCATGGATGTTGCTTTGGTGGCTAATGAGGTGGTTGAGGATTGTAAAGCTAGAGGAAAGGAAGGAATTGGCTTCAAAATTGATTTTGAAAAAGCTTATGATCATATGGATTGGAATTTCCTAGATTTTGTGATGGAAAAGAAGGGGTATGGGCAAAGATGAAGGAATTGGATTAGGGGTGCTTAAAATCTATAAAACTTTTTGTCATTATTAATGAAAGTCCAAGGGAAAGATTTAAGACATCAAGAGGACTAGACAATGGATACTTTGTCCTTTTTTTTTGTTTACAATGGTTGTGGATGGGTTCAGTAGGTTAATGATAAGGGCGGAACAGTGTAATATGGTGGAAGATTTTAGTGTTGGCAGGGAGATGGTACCAATGTCACATTTATAGTTTGGAGATAATGCTATTTTTCACTCTTTTGGAGATGAGGGAAAGTTTTTGAATATCAAGAAGATTGTTGATGTCTTTGGGGTCGTGTCAAGACTTAAGGTCAATAGGGAAAAGAGTGTGGTTGTGGGCATTAACGTTAACCAAGAAAAAATTCCTAGTTTGGGTGGCCTCTAAAATATTTGGGTCTTCCTTTAGGTGATAATACTTTGTCTTTGGGTTTTTGAGATTCGGTTATTGAGAAGATAGGTAGGAGTTTAGATGTATGGAAGAAAGCTTTAATTTCAAGTGGGGGTAGACTTAGTTCAATCGGTTTTGGCTAGTATACCCATATATTATATGTCTCTCTTTAAAATACCTGGTGTTGTGAAAAAAGATTGAAGGGGTGATGAGGGAGTTTTTATGGGAGGGTAGTAGAGAAGGTAGAAAAGACTACTTGATTAGTTGGGATGTGGTTTTGAGGCCTAGAGTTAAAGGTGGGTTAGCTGTCGGTAATTTGAAGGCTAGAAATATAGTTCTTGTTAGGAAATGGATTTGGAGGTTTCCGTTGGAGCAAAAATCTTGGTGGCATATGGTTATTAGAATCTAAGATGGGTTACAAGCCAATGAATAGGATACTAATGGGGTTGAAATAGGTAATTTTTTAAACCCATGGAAATTCATTTCCTAAGGATTTCCATCTTTTTCTTAAAGGGTTAAATTTCTTGTGGATAATGAGGAAAGAGTCAGATTTTGGGAGGATTTATGAATTGAGAATGTATCGTTGGCCCGTTTGTTTCCTCGGCTTTATAGCCTTTCTTGCCATCATTATGCTCATATTGATTCAATGGTTAAGTATTATTCTTTCCCGGTAGAATTTTAGGTTTCGTAGGAATCTTAGTGATAGGGAATTAGTGCAGATAGTTTGTCTTCTTTCTTTGCTTGATCATGTTACTTTGAACCAAGAGTCTATTGATAGAAGGAGTTGGATCATTGATTCAACCGGGTTGTTTTCATCCAAGTCTTATTTTGATTCTTTGATAAATGACACAACTCACCTAATTTTTTATCCATCATTGAAGACCTAAAAAGCAAAGGTGCCTTTGAAAGTGCAAGTTTGTGCATGTATGATTGTCTATGGGAGAATTAATACCAATGATATGATCTAATGGAACTTTGGTCCAATGGTTCTCCTAGGCTTGTGAAGGCTTTGCCTTCTTGAGGTCAAGAGTTCAAGTCCCCCTTCCCCTTACCCTTCCCCCTCCCCCCTCCCCCAACAAAAAAAAAAATTAGTCTTTGCCACAATGGTGTGTTATGTGTACAGAGGATAGTGAGAATGCAAACCATTTATTTTTGAATTGTCCAGTTGCATTGAAGTTATGGAATAATTGAATAAGTTGTTTAAGTTGGTTGGGATATCTTGGGTAGCTCTAGGTTCTATTTTATCTATGTTTTGTGAGGATTATAATGGGCTTAGTAGAAAAGGTAAAGTTGTTACTCTTTGGGAATGTGCAATCTTAGCTACTATTTGGGTGATTTGGTTAGAAAGAAATGCAAAAATCTTTGAAGGCAAATATGAGGTGGTTGATGGATTATGGAACTCTTATCTTTTTTTAGAAACTTTTTTGCGCAATTTGGCAAGCTGGAATGTTGTAAGTGAATAATTGTTTTTTGCTTGTCTTTTTTTAGTTTTGTTTTTGTTAAAGTATAAATACTTATATTACATCATCTCCAACAATTTAAACTTTTGAAATAGATAGTTGTTTAACATGGTATCAACGCAAGAAGTCCTGTGTTCAAATCTCGCCACCACCCTAATTATTAAAAAAATTTCCACATGCTACNATTACATCATCTCCAACAATTTAAACTTTTGAAATAGATAGTTGTTTAACATGGTATCAACGCAAGAGTATCAACGCAAGAGGTCCTGTGTTCAAATCTCGCCACCACCCTAATTATTAAAAAAATTTCCACATGCTACGCCCAAAATCTATACTGCACTTGAGGGGACGTGTTGAAGTATAAATATTTAGTCACAGCCTCTCCAATAGTTTAATTGTTTGGAGTAGATGGTTGTTTAACAGTTTTGTAAGTGTTTTGATGTACGGATAAGTACGAACCAAGAATCTATTGAACCATGAGTTTATTGATGTATGGACCACCTGTCCCTACTTTTTATGTACCATTTCTCTTTTTTCTATTAATATGTAAGAAATCAAAGGGCTTACTAAAGCTTCTGATGGAAGAACATACCAGTAAGTTGTTTCTTGACTCTCTCCAATTCAGCTTCATTTCGAGCAGAAATAATAAGTTTGGCCCCTAAACTTGCAAGTTGTCTAGCAAGAATCTCCCCTACACATCCAAATATCATAAATTTTTAGAGAACATGTTAAACAACATTTGCTCTCAATTGGCAATCCCACAAAAAGAAAATGGGTGGTGATGGTCAATAAAGAAGATGGAAGAAACAAACACTAAATCCCATCAAACCAAATAAAGAACTGTTTTAATCATCCAAACATTTACAGACTACATAAGAAACACATCTGCAACTGCGTTTATATGGCCTTAATCCAACTAAAAATTGAAAAAGAAAGCCACCACCATTGAATATGCCAATAACATGAGGTCCATCCTGCCAACTCAAAGTGGAAAACTTTATTCTGAACCAGAAGCAAACAATTTGTTCGTTTTTTATTCTTTGAAAGTGATCTTAGTAAATCTAAAAATGAAGAACCTGACTATCTTAAATAGACTCTTTCTAAAATTTAAATGTCCATGTAAGGAAAATACCAGATTCTATTAAAGTCATGGAGTTCAGCTTCTAGAGAAGGCTATCAGTTCAGAAAAGGATCCAACTTGAAATCAATTAGATGGTTTAGGAATCCAAACAACATAATATAAATATTAGTATCAAAACTCAGTCAATTCTTAAATATTAGTATGGCATTATCAACATAATTAAGGGAAGAGGTACGAAACAGTTTCAAGTAGTCAAATAGTGAGTTATAATAACACTCAAACGATAATTCTATTGCATGGCATTCTTAAGTTCCTAGTCCAACTACGATTTGATGTGCTACAAGTTAAATTTTTAGAAGTACAACAAAGTATGTGGATTAGCATATGCAGTGAAATACACTGAGGATTGAGTTAGGAATGCAGAAGATGGCGTTAGAAGAGAACTTTAATTACACGTACTATCCTAATTGTTTTGCCTTTGGTTAAGCAGCACTTTTATGCACGTAAACGACAAGCAATGAAGCAGTTGGACAAGAAGAAGAATACAAATAAGGAGAACCATTAGAAGAGAAGCAAATTTGGTGATAACATAATTAAAAAGTAAAGACTATAATATTATGTTAGGAGAAAGGGAGAAGAAGAGAGAAATAGAAAAAAAGAGGAAGGAATGAGAGAATAATCTATGTGTGAGTAGTGTTGTCCTACACTCTTTATTTATACTGCACCCTATCTTAGGTAATTAACATCATATGTCTGGGTGTACCCTTTGACAATCAACTGAGCCTTTAAACACACGACTGCCATCAGGAAGATATTTCATAGTGTAGACTCAATGACAACTAGTGCAATGCTTCCCAAAAGGAAGTGAAGTGAGATCCCAAGTCTAATTTTCTTGAAGACCTTTCATTTTCTCATCCATAGCTAGTTTCCATCTAGGAAATGCCCAATCCCGTGTCAAGGAACTAGGAACAACCACGTATGATAAAGTAGATGCAAAACAACGGAATGATGAGAAAAGCCAATATAAAGAATCAAAATTAGAAATGAGAAGTCGGGTACAATTACGAGTACCTTTCCTCAAAGCAATAGACAAATCGAAAAAGGATGAACTTAGGTGGTGGCTCAAAAGGTTGGACCTCAATAGAATTAGGTGATAGCTATGGAGCTTGAGCATATGGAACAATACGTCTATCCTTGGAACGATGATAAACCTGTAAAGGAGGTGTAGTAGTATGGTACAACAACTAACAAGGGCTCTTTTGGCCAAGAAAGATTAAATTTGGTGAAAGCGTATGTCCAGATACAGAAAAGAAAGATGATAACTCAAAGAAAGTAACATCAGCACTAACGCCGTATCGGCGAAAGATACGATCATAGTACCGATAACCTTTCTGAGTACGAAAATATCTCAAAAAGACACACTTAACTAAGTAAGACGAAAATTTATCTCAACCCAAACCCAACAAAATAAACAAATGCATCGTAACCAAAGACACGAGTAGTGAGTCCAAATGGCAGTCTATCAGGATAAAACAATTTGAAAGGGGACTTGTCCAAAATGGGGAAACACGTGCAATCAACAAGATAAACTGAAGCAAGAACTGGATTAGCCCAATATAGTTTTGACCAGTGTTATTTAAGGCGTAAAACGAACCGAAGCGACCAAAGCTCCTAATGCCTAAGCGAGAAGCGAAGCGAAACGATTTACCGAAGCAAAGCGAATAATTAAAAAAATAAATAAATATTTTAGTTTAATTAATTATACACATCTAAGTTCTAATTTTATATATACTAAATATTTAAATACAAGTACAACCATAAACATTTAAATTAAAACAAACACTAATAATATCTCAAATCTTAATAACAGTCATAGTTTAAACATTTAAATTCAAACAAACACTAATAATATTCCAAATCCTAATATTTAAAAACATAAGACACATAATTCAAACAATTAAAGAAACTATCTTAAGGACTTAGAAATCAATCCAGCGAGCAACAAGTTGTGCTTAAAAAAAAAAAGTAATATTGTTCACATTCACATGACTTTTGTGTGGGATCTTTATATGGACTAGACAGCAATACAAGGAAAAAAAAATATTGTTCGAAGCATTGCTTATCAGAAAAAAAAAATGTGATCAAAANTATATGGACTAAACAGCAATACAAGGAAAAAAAAATATTGTTCGAAGCATTGCTTATCAGAAAAAAAAAATGTGATCAAAAAAATTAAAAAAAAAAAAAGATTTGGTGAGGAAGAAGCAAAAGACAGAACATGTGATCAGGAAAAAAAAAAAACAGTAGAATCGATGAGGAAGGAGACTAACAAGGAGACTAACAGATAGAAGAAAAAGAGAGAAGAAGAAGAAGACTAACCTGTAGATCCTGTAGGAGCAACGAGCTTCTGTCGATCGATCGAGTCTAGCAAGCAGCGACAGAGCCTCTGTCGATCAATCGAGTCCGACGAGCAGCGACAGAGAGCCTCTGTCGATCAAGTCNTAGAAGAAAAAGAGAGAAGAAGAAGAAGACTAACATGTCGATCCTGTAAGAGCAACGAGCTTCTGTCGATCGATCGAGTCTAGCAAGCAGCGACAGAGGCTCTGTCGATCAATCGAGTCCGACGAGCAGCGACAGAGAGCCTCTGTCGATCAAGTCCAGGGAGCAACGAGCTTCTATGTAGCAGCAAGCAACGAGCTTTGAGCTTCTGTGTAGTCCTCCTCCTGAGCAACGAGCAGCTAAGGGCATAAATTAGGGGATAAATTAGGGTTTGTGGTTTTATTTATTAGATAAGGGGATAATTCGGTGTATCTCATCTTATAATTTTTTTTTTCAATCGCCCAATCCAACGGTTCAAATTAAAAATTAAATATTTCTCGCTTTTTATAATAAAGCGAACACTTTTTTGCTTTTTTCGTTTTTTTGTTTTTTCTCGCTTTGTTCACGTTCGCTTCGCCTGGGGTCCTCCAGGCGAGATATGCTCGCCTCGCCTCGCTTCTCGCCTAGGCGAGCTTTTCACAACACTGGTTTTGACACATGAAAGTTAAACATCAAGGTGCGAACAACATCCAATAAATGACGATATTTACATTGGACAACGCCATTTTGTTGGGAGGTATTAAGATATGTAGTTTGATGGATAAGGCCATGATCTGCACAAAAGTTTTTCATAAATGATTGAATATACTCCAGGACATTGTCAAACCAAAGAACCTTAATACGGGTTGGTCACCTCTGACAACCTCTTAGCAAAAAAAAAAGGTAAAATTCATCCAAAACTAACTGGGCAACTCACCAACAACCTTCAATACTCTAGTTGCATCTCTCTGATAGGGATTGAAGCATCAAAAACACTTGCAATGGTTGGAATCACTGTCCGTCAAGTTAATATTCATCGGTCACTATTCACAAAGTTACTGTTTACACAACACAATTCATCAATTTAAAAAAAAAAAATACTTGAATTACTGCTTTGATACCAAGTTAAAAATTTACGATTACAATATTATGTGAGGAGAAAGGGCCAAGAANTAATATTCATCGGTCACTATTCACAAAGTTACTGTTTACACAACACAATTCATCAATTTAAAAAAAAAAATACTTGAATTACTGCTCTGATACCAAGTTAAAAATTTACGATTACAATATTATGTGAGGAGAAAGGGCCAAGAAGAGAGAAAAAGAAAGAGAGAGGAAGAGAATGAGAGAATAATCTGTGTGCGAGCAGTGTTGACCTACACTCTCTTATTTATCTTGAACCCTATCTTAGGTAATTACAATATTATCCTATATAAATATAAAACATAAAAATAAAAACTCTAACAAACATATTCACACATCCAAGCAAACAATTAATAAGCAACCAAATCTCGAAAGAACTTACTAATTCAAGAAAGATAATTGTAAACCTCTTTGTGGACTTTCAAACCATAAACCTTAATCAAATTAATTAAAAACTCATAAAAATCAAAGTAAGACAAAACTTAGAAGACCAAAGGATCAACACTAGGTTCCAATATCATGACCAATACTTGATTGCAATTAAATGAATAGTATATTTGGATGTTAGTACGAATTATGAACAAGGCACCAAACCACTGCAGTGCCATTATTATGAATTCAATCATATCTAACTACAGCAACAAAGCAAGGTTATTGTTTATGGAAACACCGGCCACTGACATATAGATGAACTAGGACTAATTTCATTTTCTAGCTTTATTTTGCAGATGAAATGTAAAGTGCCCCTCAAGAATGCTTAACCTATTGTAACATGGAGTCATACATGTTATTATGATGCTTCAGTTCTCGGTAATGTAGTTTCAAGCTGATAAGAACTTAATAAAGCTATGACCACATATATGACATTATACTTACTTTATCCCATTATGCAAATCCTTATCTTTTAAATTTGGCCCTTGAATTTCTGATGAGGCCCAAAAACAAATGTCTGCACTGATATTTCATTGCTTTAATTTTTTTCTTGTATAACATTAAAGAACATCATACTTCAAAATTTTAATATCAAATAAATTACCATTAAAACTAGCAGAGCATTTCTAAGCATTGTTAATCTTAAAGAAACAAACAAATACAAAGGTAGCAGCAATCTCAAATTCATTGAACCTCATTAAGTGCCCACATCCCACAATTAAGTATCTTTGCAATATAATTCACCACTTCAACGAATGAATATCAGAAATCAATGTTGAAATAAGAGCTATTCATTAACGTGCAAGATAAGAAAGCAAGTAAACTACCATAAAATTACTGTGTCAATAACATACCTTTCTAACAAGTTTTACATAAAAAACATTTCTACAACCTAAAAGAGGGGGAGAGGGAGAGGGAGAGAGAGAGAGAATTAGAAGAAATAAAACTGTATTGTTTCTATTCTTTTTCTGGCTGGAACTGTAGAATTTAAGGAAAAAAAGAGTAAAGAAAGAGATTAAGAGAAGAGGAAAACAAAGAAAAGTGAGAAAAATTACATTAATACCCAATTATGATCCTTCTACTGAAAATGACTGAAGGCAAATACCACTTATGACCACTTTTCCACCTCTAGAT